TTGGAGGAGTCTCCCCCCCCACCTCACTCCCCACACGTAGCCTCTCTTTTTCCAAGGACTGAGGAATTGCAGTAGCGCTCCGAGCAAATTTCCGAACAACAAGGGAGAAGCCCAGAAAGCTTCTTACAGAGGGTTTTCACGGAGTGTGTCGTCTTCTTTTTTTAAACAACAAAACAACCTTCTAATATCTCTGCTTTCTAAGCTGGCAATCAAAGAGAGTGTGGCTTCATTTCAAATCCCAGGTATATAAACCAGAGTTATAGATTGCCGCGGGCACAAGGCAGCATGGCATGGATTCTCCCTCTCCTGCCGTGGCTCTTGTCTTTCCCAGTTTTTATTTTTGGGAAAGGTGGGATAGTTCTGGGAACCTCAGCAGGCGTATAAACCCTCGACTATAGAAAAATGCGGGGAAAGATGGCAGGTGGGGGTAGGTAGCTGCAGGTGCATCTTAGGTGTTTTGGACTTCACCGGCTCTACTCTGTGGGCCCAGTGACAAGGAATGGTGGGTGTATTGCAGGCCAAGCACTGGAAGTCTTACCATTGACAAAGGCAAGTCTGATAAACGTGCTGCTGAGAATTTAGGTGCGTTTTTTTTTTTTCCCTGTATGATAGAGCCACAAGATTATCCGATGCCTCTTGTTGAGAAGCCAGGTGTCCTTTCATCTTGCCTCCCTCCTTTCATGGCCTTCTTGTGATCAAAGCATTATACAGTTTTGTGGTAGCCTTCATTCATTCATTCACTCATTCAAAGAAGACGGGATGGTCCATCCATTTCCCAGAGCACCTGAAGGCAGGACAAGAAGCAACGGATGGAAACTAATCAAGGAGAGAAGCAACCTAGAACTGAGGAGGAATTTGCTGATAGTTCGAACAATTCCTCAGTGGAACAGCTTCCCTCCAGAAGTTGTGGCTACTCCAACAGTGGAGGCTTTTAAGAAGAGATCAGACAACCATTTGTCTGAAATACGGTATAGGGTCTCCTGCTTAAGCAGGGGGGCTGGACTAGAAGACCTCCAAAGTCCCTTCCAACTATTATTCTGTTATTCATTCCCTACAGGTTACTATATCTGAGCTTTCTCATTCAAGTTCTTCTTATACATCCTGTTCTGTTCACTCCCATCCTAGAAGCCAGTCAGAGCGAAACGTTAGCTTCCATTTTTATCTGTTTATTTATTTATAAAATTTACTGGCTGCCCCTCTTACTTATCTCTGGGCTTCCATTGTTTTCCTCATTTACAGCTGAGAAGATGTGATAGAACAGCTGTGGAAATACATCATAGCTTTTCTTCTTGCCCAAAGCCTGATTTTCTTCAGGTGTTTGAGTTATATCTCTCGCACCTGGAAGAAATTTGGCTGAAGTGGTGCTTTCATATTAACTTCTCTTGATGCTTTTCAGGTTATGATAGGGCTGGATGGCCCAGTCTACAGGTAGTCTTTGACTTACGACCACAATTGAGCCCCATATGTTGCTAAGTGAGATATTTGTTAAGTGAGCTTTGGCCCATTCTACGGCCTTTCTTGCCACAGTTAGTAATCTGGTTGTTAAGTGAATCTGGCTGCCAGGGCTCTGGTAGTTACCCCCATTTAAATCATGAGTCTCTAGCTGGATTTTCAAACCTAAAGAAGATTTATTAGGAGTAAACATTGTCCAGCACTGCCTGGGTATAGCCAACTTTGAGACACATAATTCATTGTCACCCTTGACCCTGGTGTTCCCCCACCCCCTGGGTGTATCATAATTCATATTCTCCAATGGGACACATCCATAGCCAAAAGTCATCAATCATACTCTCCGGTTAGAATTTTGCACGACAGAAATCTCTTGTCACCTAGAAACCATCTTTGCAAACATTTATGGAATGCAAGCTGCCCGCGGCTTCCCCCTCTCTTTCGGTTGGCAACTCGAAAAGACCACAGAAATATTTTATGAGTTGACACTGGCTTCCCCATTGACTTTGCTTGTTGGAAAGTGGCAAAACATGAATTGACCCCAGGACACTGCAACGGTCGTAACTGTGAGTCAGTTGCCAAGCGTCTGAATTTTGATCCCGTGTCCATGGGAATGCTGCAATGGTTGGCAGTATGAAAAAGGGTCATAAGTCACTTGTTTCAGTGCCATTGTAACTTCGAATGGTCATTAAATGAACGTTTGTAAGTTGAGGACTACCTGTATTTATTCTTTGCTATTGCCAAGTTGAGAGCAGAGGAAGAAATTATATATTTTTAAATGTGTGTGTATGTGTGTATATGTGTATATACTGTATATGTATGTGTATGTATATGTGTGTGTGTGTGTATGTATGTGTATGTGTGTATATACACACACACAAACAAACACACACACACACATATATACACATACACATATATATATATTCTTAATTTTTCGTGGGTACTTACATGTATGGCATTCAGCTTTGTTCAGGTATTTTCTCACGTCATTATAGTTGTGCTTTTAAAGTTGTAGCAACGTTTCGGCAGAATCTCATCTGCATCATCAGGCTTCTGTGTGTGTGTGTGTGTATACACACACACACACACACACACACACATACACACACACACGCATATATACACACACAAAATAAGCCCATTTGGAGAAAATTTTATCCAGGGAATTAAATGGAATCTACACATCACAGAAAGCAAAAATTGTCATAACCAATCCATGTGAAATTCAAAAGGGTACAAGAGAATGCCCCTTGTCCCTTCTGTTATTTATTTTGGTATTGGAAGTTCTGAATACAGGTATCAGACAAGATGATAAAATAAGGGGTATAACAATGTGTGATAAACAAGTTGGAAGGTTCAGCTGCAGCATAAGGATCCGTGGCTTGAACAGAGTCGAGCTGCAATCGAGGTGCAAGACTGTTTTTTTTTTTTTTAAATCAGTTTCGTCACACGATTTCTCAGATTAAAAATCAGGATGCCACCAGATGCCAGCCAATGGGGAACAAGCTCAGTGGAGAGCTGTGTGCGTGATCGTCCCTACAAGTTTTAAGTGCTTTCCACCAATCCAAAAAGCAAAAACTTTACTCGTATTATTATAGAGAGAGGCTTGTGTAACTCATAATGAGCTAATGAGGGGGGGGGGAAACTGGTTGATTTCAAAGACCTGTCCTTCCAGATCTAAAATCTTCCAAGAGATCATCCCATGTTGCTCTTGAGGTGACAGCAGTGGCAAGATTTAGGTCGGTGGCTTGATCACAATGCCCACCATCCCCAGCCAACGTGTCCCATGGGTGAGAATGTGAGAGTTGCAGCCCAACATTTCTAAAAGCCCTGAAGTTTCTGAACAGGTTACGGGTTCTTTGCATGCAGTTTGGTCTAATGGTTTTAAGGCACCAGGCTAGAAGGCAGGAGGTTGTGAATTCTAGTCCTTAGGTATGAAAGCCAACCGGCGACTTTGGGCCAGCCATTCTCCCTCTCTCAGCCCAATTCACCACTCAGAGTTGTTGTTGTGGGGGGAAATAGCAGGAGGTTTTTGGATAGGTTCATGGCCGTGAGTTATTAGGGTTAGGGGCTTCTGTCATGTATGATTTGGGCATGCTTGCCTAAGATCATGTGAAATTTGGCACTGTGGAGAGACTTTAGCCACCGAAAGAAAAGAAATTTTTGAGAGAATTGCTTTCTCTTGTATGGGAGGCCGAACAAACAGTGGTTTGCCTTATAGGTTACAAAATTGGTTTAATGACCATTACAACAGGACTGAAAAAAAGTGACTTGTGATCAGATTTCCCACTTAATGACCATTGCAGCCTCTCAAAGATCCCCTGATAAAAATCCAGGTGCTGGCAACTGCCCTGTACCCTGTTTCCCCGAAAATAAGACCCAACCAGAAAATAAGCCCTAGCATGATTTTTCAGGATGCTTGTAATTTAAGCCCTACCTTAGAAATAAGCCCCAGTTAAGGTCATCCACCAGATGGATGCATTTAGTACTGTATCTTCCCCAAAGTAAGGCCTAATAGGAAAATAAGCACTAATGCGTCTTTTGGAGCAAAATTTAATATAAGACCCGTTCTTATTTTCGGGGAAATGCAGTATTTCAACATTTGCAGCATCCTGGGGTCATGTGATTGCCATGGGCAACCTTCCCAGTCAACTTCCAACAACCGCACAATTCACTTAGCAACTACAGGAATTCGCTTAACAAGGATAGTGAAAAGTTGTGAAATCTGGTGTGACTCAAAGCTTGCTTTAGCAATGGAAATTCTGGCCCCAATTGAACTCATAAGTCAAGGATTACCTGTAGATTACATGACAGGTAACTTTGCATGTTTGTACAGATAGTCCTTGACACAACAGTTCATATAGTGACCGTTCAAAGTTACAATGGCACTAAAAAAAGTGACGTGACTATTTTTCACACTTATGACCATTGCGGCATCCCTGGCGTCACATCCATCAAAATTTGGACGTTTTGAAACTGATTCATATTTATGACAGTTGCAGTGTCCCTGGGGTCACGTGGTCGCCTTTTGCAACCTCTTCTGACAAGCAAAGTCCATGAAGAATCCAGATTCACATAACAACCATGTTAGCAACTTAACAAAGGCAACGATTCACTTAACAACTGTGCCAAGAAAAGTCGCAAATGGGGCAAAGTCGCAAATGTTTATGTGGTCGTAACTCGAGGACTACCTGTACCTGTATAAAGTTTGATGCTAGAGTACAAAGATGCCAGAGACTCCAGCCTACCTTTGATTACTTGGCCACTGACTCATATTTATGACTGGTGTAATGTCCCTTGGTCATGTGATCCCCTGTCAAGCAAAGATAATGGGGAAACCAGATTCACTGAACAACCAGGTTACTAATTTATCAACTGCAGTGATTTACTTAGCAAACGTTACAAGGAAAGTCGTCAAATGGGGCCAAAACTCACCTAACAAATTTCCCACTTAGCAACCTTGATTTGGGGCTCAATTATGGTGGTAAGTTGAGGGCTACCGGTATGATATGACTGCAATAACTCAAATTTCTCCTTTTCTCCTTCAGCTGGTGCATATTATCCTGCGCAGAACGTGCAACAATTCCCAACTTCCCAAGTCATGATGAATCCTCAACCACCGGTCCCGCCAAAGCGAGAGCGCAAGACAGTAAGAACGGGTGGGAGGCAGCTGGGTGGGACAATAAAATAGCCATTAATGTGTTCCTCCCCGAAAATAAGACCTATCCTGAAAATAAACCTTGCTGTGGGTTTTTTTTTTTTTTGCATGTGTGCCTAATATAAGCCCTACTCTCCAAATAAGCCCTGCTTAAGTCTGGTTGTTCGTGTTGTCGCGAGGCAAGGCAGAGGATAGAGGTGCCCCACGCAACCCACACTGGCTTAGGGAAGCGAGGCAAGGCAGGTGTTGGGGCATAGGTGGCCTTGAGATAAGCCATTGCAGGGCAGCAGAAGTGGGCCTCCCATGTACTCTTAAAAGTACATGGAGGAAAAAAATAAGACAACCTCCCAAAATAAGCCCCAGTGCTTATTTTGGAGCCCAAAAGAAAATAAGACCAGACCTTATTTTCGGGGAAACACGATATTCAGGTCTTGTTTACTTAGTTCACCTGTCTTGTGTTCCCAACCTTTACCTTTAGCTTACATCATCACTTCCTGTTGTTTTATTGTTTTATTTATATGATTTGTATCTGGCTTTGGAAAAAATACTGTCTCGAAAGTTTAAAATAGGGGTTCAGTTTGACAACAGCATCAATACTAAGATTAGATGAACTAAGAAGATCTCAGGACTTCTGGTTGCCAACACCCTAGAAATGTCAGATTATCATTTAAAATACAGTTGTACCAATAAAGGAGAATATTTGTAGCTCAGGGTTGAAATGTGGGGTCCTTGGTGCTCTCTGAGCTTGATTGTTTACTTGCAAAATTCAGTTGTTTTGATATTTGTATCATAGATAGATAGATAGATAGATAGATAGATAGAGATGAGAGAGAGAGAGAGAGAGAGAGAGATGTTCGTTGTAGTGGTTGTGATTCAGAGCTTTAAAACAAGACTATTAATACCGATATTCTTGACTTAAAACTGTTCATTTAGTGACTGTTCAAAATTACAGCGGCACTGAAAAAAGTGACTTATGACACTTTTTCATACTTACTACCGTTGCACCTTCCCCATGGCTGCGTGATCCAAATTCAGATTCATGGCAATTGACTCATATTTATAATGCTTACAGTGTCCCGGGGTCACTTTTGCGACGTTCTGACAAGCAAACTCTGTGGGGAAGCCAGATTCCCTTAACAAGCGCGCGACTAACTTTAACCACTGCAGTGATTCCCTGAACGCTTGTGGCAAAACGGGGCAAAAATCAAGGTTTCGTTCAGCAACAGAAATTAGGGGTTCAGTTGTGGTCGTAAGTCTAAAGTACCTGTACTAAGGTTTAACGTTCTGGGTCAAGATAAGTTTCATGGAGATTCTGCCTTAATTTTCACAAGGCAGAAGGTAGGTTTCAGTGAAGGTAGGTTGGGGTGGAGGAAACTGTTCAGAGGTACCTGTTCAGGTGGACATAGTATGAAGTTGGGTACTCCACAGCATTGCCTAGCGATACGTTTATTGTAGTTGTCCCAAAGGTGCTTTTTCAGGAGGCAACTGGACTTTTCTTGTTTTTTCCTTCTGAAGACATTTCGCTTCCCTTCTAAGAAGCTTCTTCGGCTCTGACTGGATGGTGGGGAATGGAAGGGTTTATATTCCTTGCAGACGGTGCGCTTTGGGATAAACGCCCTTTGAACGATGTTGGGAGTATGAATGGATTTCCAGGGGAAAAAAATGATAGACTACAGGAACCCTTTGCACTTCACTTTGAGATGCAGACAATGTGGACTCATCCCCGACAGCCTGCGCCTGTGTTCAACAGGGAAAGGGATACACAGGGCAGAAAAACATCCTGCAGCCCAGAAGGCTCCACACCCATTTGCACCACCCAGGTGATCTTGATGACATAGATAAAACTTCCCAAGTGTCCTCAATGACTCTCTAAAAAGGATGCAAATGACCAGCTGTCTGCAAGGAGTATAAACCCTTTCATTCCCCGCCATTGAGTACCACGTACCGAATTCGGGCAAGCGATTTTATGCCCTTCGCATAAAGGCGTCATTACATGAATCGGATCGCTTGCGTGATGCCGTACACACGGTCTCCGTTGACAAAAACGATGCCACTGCTGCAGGATTGTCATTCTTGATTTTAATGGATAGTTGGAAATAATGGTCACCCTTTTGCCTGGCCTGGTGCCCTTTAATTAAACTTTTCATTTATAGTTCTTACCCGGTGTGTCAAAACCCTAATATTCTCCAGAATGTTTCATTCGTTCATTCTCTGGCTCATACCAATCCATGCTTTCTGGGGTGTGTTCAGGAGACTTCATTCCTCTGAATGAAACTGTTGGGCAACCCCCCCCCCCCCCCCCCCCCCCCCCCCCAGAAGTCAGTTTGTCATATTTAATATGCAGAACTGGGAAAGTTCACAAAAGACCAGCCTTGGCATAGCCTGGTTCTTTCCCTTGGGCTTTATGTAGTGATGCCCTTCCTTACCTTGTACAACAGGTATAGTGAGCTCTGCTCTAGCTATGTAGGTGATTAAAGCACCAGGCTAGAAGCTGAGATCCTGAGTTTCAATCCTGCCTTAGGCAGGAAAGCTGGCTGGGCGACTTTGGGCCAATCACCAGGAGACTGTCAGTTCTAGTTCCGTCTTAGGCATGAAAGCTACTGGGTGATGTCGGACCAATCCTCAGGAAAGTGTAAGTTCTAGTTCCATCTTAGGTATGAAAGCTGGCTGGGCGACTTTGGGCCAATCACCAGGAGCCAGTGAGTTCTAATCCCGCCTTAAACATGAAAGGTGGCTGGGCAACTTTGGGTCAATCACCAGGAGGCTGTAAGTTTTACTCCCACCTTAGGCACGAAAGCCGACTGAGTGACTTGGACCAGTCACCAGGAGCCTGTGAGTTCTAGTTCTGTCTTAGGCATGAAAGCTACTGGGTGATGTTGGACCAATCCTCAGGAAAATGTGAGTTCTAGTTCCATCTTAGGCATGAAAGCTGACTGAGTGACTTTGGGCCAATTACCAAGAGGGTGTGAGTTGTAGTCCTGCCTTAGGCACGAAAGCTACTGGGTGACTTCAGAGCAAGCGCCAGGAGAAGGTGACTTCTAGTCCCACTTTATTCACTGAAGATGACTGGGTGACTTTGGACCAGTCCCTCACCCTCCGCTCAACCCACCTCACAGGATGGTTGTTGTGGGGAAAATAGGAGCAAGAAGGGATACGGGGTTGCGTTCACCACCATGAGTTATTTATAAAAACAGTAAAGGTGGGATATAAATAATTAAATAAACATTTAAAAAATAGTTTAGCCTGGTGGAAAGCAACTGCTTCTCACCTTTGGAAGATTCCAGATGTAGACTCAGCAGGAGAAACAGGCCCTGCCCTGTGTGTGTGTGTGTGTGTGTGTGTGTGTGTGTGTGTGTGTGTGTGTGTTTGTGTGTGTATGCATGCAAGCTATTCAGGGGGGAATGTTGCAAGATGGGTCAGAGTTCGGCGAGGTACAAGAGTCCAGAATGGTGTGCTGAACATTAGCCGAAGGAGCAGGCTGGAACTCTGCAGCGAGAAAGGCTGTCGAATGCAGGGCTGCTTCTCTTTACGGCCTGAACATTTCTGAAGAAGTTGCTCTCATGCCACGTGATTTAGAAGGGGAAGAATCAGGTGAGATAAGTCAGTCATTGGTATATTGTTTTCTTTGCAAAGGAAAAAGCGGGCACAGTCCACAATGAGGGGACCACTTCCCGTATGCTCCTCCCTTTGCTTGTGTTTTTTTTTTAAATGCAATGCCCCCCACTCTTCCAGGCCCTGTTTTTTTGGCTGTGCCAGCCTCCTGCAGCCCTCTGCCAACAAAAATGGAGCCTGGGAGGGCGGTGCGCGGTCCTCCTGAGCTCCCTTTTTGCTGGCAGAGGCACCATGGGCCGGTCCTGTGTTGTTTCCAGGGGGGCCCCCATGGGCCAGATCTAATCACCCCGTGGGCCGGATCCGGCCCGCGGACGTTTGAGTTTGACACCCCTGCCCTAGCCATCCATGTTTTAACTTCTCCTGTGTTGGTTTTTTTTCCCTGCGTTGGGAGCACCAAAGTACTTCTGTGGCCAAAAGATTTGCTGTTGATATCACCGTTGCCCCGGGCGTGCCCAATTGGGGGTTCCTTTTGCGTCCCTCGGATGTTGCCCATCAAAAGTGATATATACCCATTAATCCACTCGCAGTCACCTTCTTTCGAACGGCTGGGTCATCAGAGGCTGGAGCTTGTGGCGGGTGCTCACTCTACCCTGCAGCAGCAACGGGTCTCGAACGCGGCAAGCCTGCCGATCAGCAGCCAAGGGTTCGAACCTCGTGAACTTACCTCGTCTTGCTTCGTAGCCCACATTTCCCCTCTGTTTTGCCCCACAACTACCCTATGGGGCAGGCTGGGCTAAGAGAATGACCCAGCAATTGAATGGGCACAGCCAGACATACCCGGGTTGTTGCTTCCTCTGGGTTTAGTTTCGCCTCCTCATGGTTTAGGTTGAGGGTCTTTCAGGCTGCCATAGATTCATAATGTAGCTGTTGCAGTTTGCCTCGAGCGCTAAAATCCAAGCTGGACAGTCCGTACGGCGTCGTATTCAGACGCCAAGGTTTTTCAATGCTGTCGGCAAAAATGGGAATTACTGCCCCACTTCTTGTTCAGAAGAAATCAAATATTCCAAGTCCTTGTTGAAAAAACTCAGACTCTGGTAGGCTCACATGACTTGCTACTCTCAAATTCTGCAACACTTACGGATACAGATAATCAGAGTTGGAAGGGACCTTATAGGTCATCTAGTCCAACCCCCCCGCCCAAGCAGGAGACCCTACACCATTTCTGACAGATGGGAGTCCAATCTCTTCTTGAAAGCCTCCAGGGATGAAGCTCCCGCAACTTCCGAAGACAAAAGCTGTTCCATGGGTTGATTGTCAGAAAATTTCTCCTTATTTCCAGGTTGAATCTCTCCTTGTTCAGTTTCCATCCATTGTTCCTTGTCTGGTGTTTGGGTGCTTTGGAAAATAGCTTGACCCCTTCCTCTTCTCTGTGGCAGCCC